CAGCAGAGCAAACAGGCTGCAGGGCATGCGGCCAGTCAGGTCCAGCCGGGCTGGATTTTGCCCAGTGCAGTGTAGGTGTGTTTTAAATTTTAATCTAATCTAAATCTTTTATTGGATTTCTTAAAAGACAGAAAATATTTACTAGTTTGCCTTGCTAGTCTCTCTGGGTGTAAATGTATTTTGACGATACTGTTTTATAAAGCAGAGACCAGTCTGGAGGCTCTGCCTTGAGATGGGGTTGTGTTCACACGCGGCGGCAGACGGCTCAGGCAGAACGGCCGCGTGTGTTTTGCGTCTTCCCTAAGCCACCCAAGCAGAGGCTAACAGTGTTCCTCCTCGGTTTATTATAGTCCTGTCCAAACGCCAGCAAGCATCTGACGCAATGTAAGCTCCTTCTGTGAATAAACCCTTCTGCAGGCACCCATGGGTGGGAACCTCTGTGGCACCGAGTTCACGGAGGACAAGCCAACGATGCACTGGTGGCTCAGGGGTCCGGGAGGTCCGAGTCCCAGGACACGTGTTCCTCGGAGAACAAAGCGCTTTCACACAAGAGTAGAGCCTGCCCTCAAATCTCTGAGGAAGCAGCTGGAGTTTCTTCTTTCCAAAGCACTCTTCCATCAAGACCTCCTGGTGTTAGGCTGTGTCTAACATCACACGCAATAGGGTGTGCAATGAAAATCGTCATCTCTCTTTGCATCGTGGAGTGAGACATCATATAAAACCTTTGGGTTTATACTTTTATCAAACTCTGTATATACTACTCAGGAGATTTTGCAGATCTGGCCAATAAATCAATGAATCAGTATTAGTTCGTTGGGCTTTTTTTGAAAAGTAAGAAGGACACAGTTGCCACCACTCCCCAAGTTGCCTGTGCGCACCCTTCAGCTTCCTTTTGTACGTTTGGTGGCCTATCTACAAGTAACTTCATGGTAATCTAGTTTCTACATTGCAGAGTACTGCTCGTTATTGAAATATCGCTGTATTATTTCAGCACTCTTTCTTCTAGGCTGCAGAGTTATAAGCCGCATTAATCTTAAATCCTGTTCTCCTACAGTTTAAATCTGAAAAATGTTCTAAGCGGCTGACTCGGGTTTGTTTTGAAATCCTGCCTCGGGATATTAAGATTTAGTAACAGAAATTCTCGCCTTAAAATAGCAGCACAAAATGTTCTATTTACTCACAATGTGAATGTAAAATATGCAGCATCCCTCACATGAGCAGTGGAAGCATACCGATAGTATCTGAAAGACAAAGGAATTTGGTGGAAAAAACCAATCCGCTGTTCTTCCTCTGGCGGGCGGCAGCACTGAACAGCATTCCTGGCCCTGGGAAAGGTGCTGCTGGTTCCAGGTCCTCTTCTCCTGCCCCCTCCAATAGCCTGGTGCACTGTAATACTTTTTACTTTTAAGAAAAATTGTCTTAAGCCCTATATTAGCTTGAACCCTAAACGCTGTTAGCCTGAATTCTACCTGAAACCAGCTCATGCACGTGCTGCTTGGTCCATCTAGTGTTGGCAAAGGTCTCAGGCGATGTTAGAGACGTACCTGGTTGCACACAGAACACCAACTTGCTAAAATGTCTTGTTATTTACTGCAGCACCTGCAGGGCCCGGGGGCCAGTTCTCAGTCAGTCACCGCAGGCACAGCTGTCTCGTCTCCAACAGGTCCAAGTCACTTGACTCTCATGGGGCCAGAAGGGACCCCAGAAGGGACATGTCAAAAACATTTGCCGCTTTTGGAACTGCAAAGGGCAAACCTCCCCCTTGTGCCTTCTCGGGAGGTGGGGGGCTGTTTCACTGCCACGGCGTGACCCTGCAGAACATCTGCTCTGACTTTCTCCGGGTTATAAAACCACGGTCGTGCCATCACATGACCACTCCAGCTTTGCTTTGCTGACAACACAAGTGTACTTGGCATGACACAAACCTTGCCTCTCAAAATAGCTGGTTTGGTGTCTTTTCTCCCATTTGCAGACAGCAGCATGAACCTGAAGAAGTACTTCATTCGGGCGCTGCACCGCCTGCAGAAGGGCCCTGGCTACACCTACAAGGAGCTGCTGGTCTGGTACTGCGACAACACCAACACCCACGGCCCGAAGCGCATCATCAAAGAGGGGCCGAAGAAGAAATTAATTTGGTTCTTCCTAACGCTGCTCTTTGCATCTCTGGTCTTCTGGCAGTGGGGTATCCTCATCAACACCTACCTCTCCTATAACGTCACGTCATCTCTCTCTATTGGCTTTAAAACCATGAAGTTCCCAGCAGTCACGGTCTGCAATGCCAACCCTTTCAAGTAAGTTTTTCTTCGCCTAATTTACCCAGTCATGCATTAACACCCTCAGTTATGTTTTAGCATAAAGTACTGTGGATCCCTTCCTGTCTCAGGTATGTTAGGAGCATCAATGGAAATGATCCTTTGACTCACCAAATGGCACTAAAAACCGAAGGAGAACGATGTAAAGGGGAACGGCTCAGGGCCGGCGCAGGGTCCGTGTGCCTGCGAGTTTGCCTGGGTTTCCTTACTGTATCAGTTAATCTAATGATGGTTGTTGCCTCCCTGCAAACTTTCCCTGGCTCAAGGAAAACTCGAAGTTCAACTTACTTGTCACAACTAAAATCAGTCTCTCGATCTTTCCCCACAATTCCTTTCTTTCTCCTTCCTCCCTGTGAACGTACCTCTTATCACTCACACTCCGGCCATTAAGAGCTGGTTAAACAGTAGGATCTGCTGGGACCTGCAGGGATACAACTTGATCACAATTTCAAAGCAGTAACTGATTTTTATTTGAGTTGCTTCAAATTTATATCCATGCAATAGCCTAGCCCAAGGCAAGATGCTCTCGACTGACACACAGGAATTATTTGGGGTTTTTTTTTTATTCTCTGCTTGCTAGAGATGTTTTGTGTAAACTACAGGGAATTACTGAAATACAACCAATTCAGTTCTGCTGTGACAAAACACTGTTCACCACCACAGCACTCTGTTTATCCTTCTGCTGGTTTTCCACCTGGCTGCAGGCTGCTGGGATGCCCAAGTCTGAGCTGGCTGTGCTCTGCACAGAGGCTCCGTTGTTCTCCAGTAAATCTTTAGGCAGTGATCCATGGTGCCCAGGAAGATCCAGGCAAGTGGAGCAGCAGATGAGCACATCCCCACTGCCTTGGCACCGCCTGGTAACTGCTCTTTGTCCTGCAGATACTCAGAGGTGAAGCATCTGCTGAAAGAACTGGACAGGCTCATTGAAGCAGCACTGGAGAGGATCCTGCAGCCTGCGCCGTGGAACAGCAGCGAGAACGCCTCCCCACCACTCGACCTGGAGCTCTGGCACCAGATACCCCTGGTCCTTATCGACGAGCACGACAAAGACAACCCCGTCATCCTGGACATCTTTGAGAGTAACCAGACCACTGCGGGCAACCAAACCTCTGCAGGAAATCAAACTGCTGAGGGCAATGAAACCTCTGCGGGCAATGAAACCTTTGCGGGCAGCCATACCGCTGAGGGCAACCAAACCTCTGCAGGCAACCAAACGGCTGCTCCACCTGCCCCAGCCAACACGACGTCGGAAGAAAAGAAGTACAAGCTGGCGGTGAAGCTGGTGAGAGGGGTCCCGCGGGAGGCAGCCGGGGAGGGGCAAGGGATGAGCAGCGCTGGGCGCCTCGGCAGGGATGCAGCATGGAGATCGGCGTCTCTTCCCCACCAGCTGCCTGTGGCCACTCTGCTGCAGGGCTCTGGTCCGGCTGCGCCGGGGCCAGCACAGGCAGCCCCCTCTGTACAGGGCACGCGGAGCCCGTGGGCAGTTTGCAAGTTATGGCGTGTTATTTCAAGGCTCCAGGGCTGTGTGTTGTTTTTCTGAGGAAGGCAGCTCAGAGGTATTTTAAGATTTTTTTTTTAAATTTCAGAGGGGGGATCTGATGCCCTGCAGGTTACATAGCCAGACACCCAGCTGAAGATGCTGGATTTCCGCACATGGGGCCTGCAGCAGGATCATACCCTAAATATACTGCCCTAAATGAAAGGAAGCCCAGCAAGGAGCTGTGTTACGTTAGTCCATGGTGAATGTAGGTAGCTGCCTAACATCAGTCAGATCAGCAGGCCCCTCATGCAAAAAGGGACTGACAACACGTAGCAGCCTAGCACCGCATCAGAGGTACGGAGCGGATCCTGCCAGCAGGTCCGTCAGCCTCTGGCGAGAGGGATGCTGGAAGCGCTGGGCAGTAACTGAGCTGTGCACGGCGTTGGTCAGTGGAGTCTGCCCGCAGCGCAGAGGACAATGCTGTACATCCTCTGGGACTGCCCAGCGCAGCCCTGCTGCAGGCTGAGCCCAGGGCAGAGCCGGGGCAGATGTACTCCACGCAGGCTCCCTGCCGCCTTCACCTCTTCCTCGGGTCTGGCACCCAAAATCCTGGGGAGAGGCTGCAGCTGCTGCCCCTGTCCCTCTCCGCTGCCGTCCTCACTGCAGAGGCACATGGTGGTCTCGTGACCCCCCACCCTCTGCTCCCACGGAGGCTTCAAGGACCCTGCCTGACCAGACCTTGGAAGCTGGGACAGCTCCCGTCTTAAAGAATTGACCCAAAAGTGACGCTTTCTGTAAGCTAGTGGAGGTAACGCTGGGACCGATGGGAAATCTCCCCCGGGCAGGGACGCG